CGAACTTCTGAGTGAGATCACCAGCTATCGGCGACTGATTGGAAAACTGTTGTACTTAACCATTTCTCGCCCTGACATATGTTACTCTGTCAATAAATTGAGTCAGTGCCTGGCTGCTCCTAGGACCAGTCACCTTCAAGCCGCTTTACAGATTCTCCAGTATATCAAGAGGACACCTGGACAAGGTCTTTTCTTTCCTTCATCATTTGCTATTCAGATTAAGGCATTTTCTGATGCTGATTGGAGCACATGTCCTGACACTAAAAAATCTCTCACTGGTTATTATGTTTTTCTTGGGTCTTCATTAGTCTCATGGAAATCAAAGAAACAACAAGTCGTTTCTCGGTCATCTGCTGAAGCCGAGTATCGCTCCATGGCCAACACTACTTGCGTAATCGTTTGGATTCTGAAATTGTTACGAGATTTAAAGGTGCAACACCAAGGTCTTGCATTACTTTACTGTGATAATCAGGCAGCTCTACACATTACTTCAAATCCAATGTATCATGAGGGAACAAAACACATTGAGCTTGACTGTCATTTATTCGTGAGAAGATTCAAGATAGTACCTTGAAGACGATGCACATATTCACTTGAAATCAACTGGTAGATTTAATAACAAAGGCACTTCATCCTACGCAGTTCGACAATTTGTTGAGCAAGATGGGTACAATAAATTTGTACTCTCCATCTTGAGGGGGAGTATTAAGATTAATTAATAGATATTAAGTATAGTTTGTGTTAAACTCAAAATAAATTAGTTAATTGCATTGTAACCGTTTTTGCTTTCTTCTGCTACAGTACAACACAAAGTGGCAATATATGTATTCCTGTAAGCAGCAAAACAGAATTCAGAAGGAAAATTTTCTTTGTCTTTCTACTCTCTCTTTGTTCCATTTTTGCTCTTCCTTCTTTTTCTATTATTTTCAATCTCTATCTAGTCTGTCCAACCGGTCCGGTCCGAGCTTGAACCCACGCACACCCGAAATACAGTGGATCAACTTACCGAAATGGGGAGCCGAAGTCTTGGACGAATGTTGAGCTCTTGAGATAAACGACGCCGTTTAGAGTCTTCCGGTCCCTAACTGCCTGCCTGCCTGCCTGCCTTTGGTCTTAAAGCCGTCACATTCACTCATACAAATACAGCAGTCCTTGTCTCTTCGTTACAGGGGAAGCTATTGTTGCTGAAGGACCTGCAACAATGGAGGCGGCGCCATTTCCTGCTGCGTCGTCAAACTTATCGCTCAAACGAATGCAATCTCCCTCGTTTTACTCATCATCGTCGTCTCTCTTATCTCTGGGCAAAAACCCTCGAGGAAATTACCTTAAATTCAAGTCACGAAGAAACCTCTCTGTCCGTTCCTCTTCTGCTTCTGATTCCGGTACTCTTTGTTCTACTCACATGTATTTTTTTCATTTCATATCATTTTGACGTATCTCGTTTCTGAATACTTTTGTTTTAATTGCGTCATACACAATTCAGTTGTGACTTTGCTTGATTACGGAGCTGGAAATGTTCGTAGCTTGAGAAACGCGGTTCGACATCTCGGCTTCAACATCAAAGACGTGAGTTTTTTAACCGCCATTATTGTTTTCACCTATTTCTTCTTCGTCATATTCAAATTTATAGAACTGGTTATTGGGTGATACTGGAATTTATAGCTCGTCTAATTACCATTAGTGTCAATAAACTTCCCAGAACTTCTTCAGTTCTTTTTTGTTTTTATGCTAGACTTCAATTCACGTGTCAAAAGATGTCACCTTTTCTGATTCACCAATTATCTTTTTTTTTCACCCTTCTAATTTAATGTGCTCAATGATTATATTTTCTCCTGCAGTTCTGTTAACCTCTTTTCCGCTAGTTCAGTATTCATATATACCACTTCTCCTGAAAAATGGCGTTTCAGTGATCTTTTTCTTTTTCCCTTCTAAATTAATGTGTTCGCTAATTCTATTTTGTCCTGCATGTGCGTCAATTTCTATTAGTTCTGTTTTCAGTTAGCTATCATGTTTGTTTCCATCAGTTCTATTGATGAAAAATGGTGTTTCAAGTATCTAGCTTAGCACATGCTTAGTTAGTAAGTTGATTGATGCAATGAAAATTTAACATGTAGGTCCAAAGACCAGAAGACATACTGAATGCTGATCGCCTTATTTTTCCTGGTGTTGGGGCTTTTGCTCCTGCGATGGATGTGCTTAACAAGACTGGGTATATGTTCTTTCTTCTGTCATATGATATTATTCACAGGTTCATTCTTTTGTTAGCTGTTTCAATGGGAATAATGGTGAAGATTGTAACCATATAGTTGAAATAACATCACCAATGTTTGTTTTACAGGTATTATTTTTGTTCAGGTAAATATTTGTGTCACAGATTTGTTGTTTTATACATGTTCATGATTGTTTATATCCATTAGCAAATGGGTTTTTGTAGAGAGGATGATAAAGTTGGATCTAAGTTGATTGATTTCTTCTAGGGTAGTGGGCCAATTAGACTCAAGGGAGTCAGTTAATTATATTTCATTATTTTCCATATTGTTTACGGTTTCACTGGTTGCAGGATGGCAGAAGCACTATGTACCTATATTGAAAATGATCGTCCTTTTTTAGGCATATGCCTTGGGCTGCAACTACTTTTTGAGTACAGTGAGGAGAATGGACCAGGTGAGCTGTTTTTTCCTCTTGTTGCCAGTAAATACTTTTAGCATTGTTAAGCTTATCACCCTCATTCTGCTGGCTATCATTTGCATAAGCTGGATGGCAAGGAACGAGAGGGTTTCTCTTGGTACTGTGTCTCTTTTTGCTAGCATCGCAGATAAATGGTTCTAGAACTTGAGTATTTTGTTTAATGATTATCCTCTTAATATTGGGGATGATCTAGAGAACCTTATAGATATTTTGTTTTCTTTTTGCAATTTATATTGGCCCTTGGTGCCTTGTTAATAGTATTCCTCTTTTTTCTCTAAAAGAAAGTACATTTATCATTATGTGTTATCTAGTTCCTCTTAATTTTGTTTGTTGAGATCCAAAGCTTATGTTTTTGTTGTATTCTTCTTTTTTTTTTCCATTTCCATGTCTCAGTGGATGGGCTTGGCTTAATACCGGGTATAGTTGGGCGTTTCGACTCATTAAATGGTTTTAGAGTACCCCATATTGGCTGGAATGCATTGCAAATCGTAAAAGAATCTGAAATATTGGATGATGTTGGAGATCGCCATGTCTATTTTGTTCATTCATATCGTGCCATGCCTGTATGTTTCCTTTTACACCCTTCCCTCTTGTTTAGTTTGTGTGTGTGTGGGACTTTTCCACCACATTTGGTCTTTGTTTGCCGGAAATTTCATCCTTTTATGCTTTTGTAGTCAAATGAAAACAAAGATTGGGTCGCATCTACCTGCACTTATGGTGATGAATTTATAGCTTCTATTAGAAGGGGAAATGTGCACGCAGTCCAGTTCCATCCAGAAAAAAGCGGAGGCAGGATAGCTTCCCCTTAGATGTTCTGCTTTATTTTGTTTTATGCAGCTATTCAGGTTTAAGACTTCAGACTTCCTTTGCCTGTACTAAATCATTAAATGAATTTTTCAGATGTTGGTCTTTCTGTGTTGAGAAGGTTCTTGTATAAAAACTCACATGTAACAAAGGTAGATTTTCATCATTTATGTACATGCTATTTGTTTGTTTCATGGTTTTGAGACTTATCTGTCTAATGATCTTCACGTTTCACTTGAAGACAGAAGCCAACGGTGAGGAAGGCTTCAAAACTTGCTAAGCGGGTAATAATTTCTGGCCGACATTATTACACCTGTTGGTTCTTTTTACCATTCATTCTTTTGTGAGCTTGTAGATTTCGTGATTGGCCAACTTGTTATCACTTTTTAATTAAGAGTCATTTTGCATTCAAGAAATCCCTTTGCTTAGTGATATGTAATATATATTATATTACATATTCATAGTTTTGCTTTTTCAGTCATCGCTTGTCTTGATGTGAGGCAAATGACAAAGGGGATCTTGTTGTTACTAAAGGTGATCAATATGATGTGAGAGAGCATACAAAGA